GGGGTGCGGCGCGAGACGGAGGGGGGAAAAAAAGTGGGGGGGGGGGGAAGCGCAGGTGTCAGCAGTGGGCTCGGGGGCACCACGGGGGTAGCACCAAGTTTGCAGCCCAGTGGCACAAAGCCCCCCCTCAAGTTCTCCCCACAGCCGCTGGCAAAGAGGTAGAACTGGGAGCCAGGACTCCGGGGCAGGGAATGGGGCTGAGCGGGATGGGGGCTGAGCATTTCAGAGGTGGGCACCTGCAAATTTAGAGGCACCAAGTGGACCTGGAGGGAAGGGGCAGAGTAGGGAAAAAACCAAGTTTGCAGCCCAGTGGCACAAAGCCCCCCCTCAAGTTCTCCCCACAGCCGCTGGCAAAGAGGTAGAACTGGGAGCCAGGACTCCGGGGCAGGGAATGGGGCTGAGCGGGATGGGGGCTGAGCATTTCAGAGGTGGGCACCTGCAAATTTAGAGGCACCAAGTGGACCTGGAGGGAAGGGGCAGAGTAGGGAAAAAGGAGAACCCAGGGGGTCGGGTCTTGTCTCCCAACAACTGCCCCCCACTGCCCTGCTGGAGAACCTAGGAGTCCTGCTCCCACCTCAGGCCCGTGAGGGCTGTGGGGCTGGGCAGGAGGGCCACTCACCTCTTCCTGCAGCCGCTTGGCCCGGCGCCCGGAGCTGTTAAACTTGGAGGGCTGCACGGACTGGCGCAGGGGGATGCTATGGGGCTTGTACTCCTTGTCCTTCTCCTCGCTGTCGAAGGGCCGTGCGTCGCACTGCTGGGAACAGACGGGGTGAGAACTGGAACAGGCCCCCTTGGCAGGGGGGCCGCGAGCTCGCAGAGCCGGAGTCTGGCTGGGTTCACCCCCGCACCAGCTCCTCCCAGACCTGGGAGGAGGACCCAGCATCCTGCCTCCAGCCCCCTCCCTCTGTGGGCCAACCCCAGGCCCCCTTCCCACCAGCTTGGCCCCTGACTGGTACATCTCGTAGGGGTAGATGATGCGTTCGTAGTGGGAGCGCAGCAAGGAGTCAATGTTCTTGCCCGAGGGGTAG